TTAATTTGCAGAGACCACCCAGTTTGTTGAACCACCTTACTGGTTGCCACTGTGTCGTCATAGTTTCCACAAGAGGGTTATTCAGAGCTGCTTAACTGTGTTAATCTTTCCCAGTTTTACTAGCATCTCAGGGTCTTTGGGCCTCCAGTAGCCTGAAGTACAACAGCTGCCTTGACATGAATTTGGCACAGTTTGCCAGCACAGTATGGAGACAGAATTGGGTGGATATAAAAGTGGTAGTTTTAGCCTCAGTTTTTTTATATTTTGAGGATAAATACAGGCCTTCTGCTAATGTATCAACTGCCCTTAACTAGCTCTCTTTTGTTTGTCATGTTTGTCATAACAGTCTTTTGTAGGAAAGCCCTATTAAGCAGTATGTCCGACCATATTACCAAGATCAGATCCATTGTCTTGATCTCTAGGAAAAAACCAGCCCAACAAACATAAAACCCCTTGCAGTCAACTGCAAAGATCTGGTCTTAAAATCAAGCTCCTGAATTCATATTTGAACAATTAACTGCCTTCCAAACCTGCAAGCAACCAGCTGTTCTGATTGGAAGTCTCATGAATTTGGGGGTATTTCTGAAAGCCAGGACAACTAGTGTGCTAAATTATGAGTCATGTGTCAGTTATTTTCACTTCTTTTTCCTTTCAGTTTTGATGGTGTTGCTGGAAGGTAGTAATCATGGGAAATTCATCTTTATTTAGACAGAAGGGAAATAAAGTTTTCCTTATTAATGGAAAACGGTTGAATATTTGTCCTTATTATATGCTTTAGAATAAGGTCCAGATCCAGTAAGGCAAGTATCAGCACAGTCCTCCAAATCAATTGTCAAAGTGTCTTCATTATGTTACTGGTTTTTTTCTCCCCAGCAATGAGGTTACCATTCATTGTTTTATAATTCTGTCTTGTTGGTCGCTGCACTGAAAAGCCATAAATATGCCAGTGTGTCTTTGCAGAGGATCTCCATTAGGGCTTGGGCTAGGACCACCCACTCATTTCTCCTGAGCAAACCAGTAGTTGTTAGATAGCACCTTTTCATTAGCTACTGGCCTGGACGGGATGTGAACTGGTGACCAACAGGTGAAAGGTATTTCATATCTCATTATTAATCCCCAGAGCCATCAGTTCCTTCCATTAAAATCTTATGAGTAACTTTGCTGTCCTTCAAATAAGTCTGCTATCATGCAGATTTTTTTTTGCTTTGTAAAATTGCCAAAGCATGTGGTTGTGCATATACAACTGTACACCCTGTTGCTAGAAATTGGGAGGTTTCCGGAGACTGTCAATGCCTGCATTTGTATGGGTCACGTAACAGTGAACATGCACACAAAATGCTTTCCTGCCCCAAATCATTATTTTTCAGCTGTTTAAACAATTACTTGGATTTTCTTTAAAAGTTGGAATTTTATTCCCTTATGCCATGTGTTTAACACTGAAAACATACAGTGGGAAGGGAGGATGACAGGGATTGCTGTCTTTAACTACACAGTGTATGCGTTCTGTTATAGTAGTTAAGATGTACATTGAATAGTTGAAAAAAGTTGATAAATGCTAAATTTTAATTGTAAAATAGCTTGATTATGACAAGCGGTTGGATTTTATACCATTTGACATAAAAATAATGTTTACTGAATCTATGCCAAGGTATTGACATTTTAGCAGCAGACAGATGGCACCAAAGAGGACATTTTAGATAATGGTTCCTCAAAATGCAGTTCTGGAAGAAAATGTTTTTATTCTTTCAATTTTTGACAAATGTGTATATATTAAAAGGTGCCAACATGAACATATGGAACTGTGCTAATCCCCAAAACAGGGAAGATTTAGGTTAGATAAAAGGAAGAAGTTCTTTACTGTGAGAGCGGTAAGACACTGGAACAGGCTGCCCAAGGAAGTTCTGAATGCCCCATCCATGGCAGTGTTCATGGCCAGGTTGGACAGGGCTTAGAACAACCTGGTCTAGTGTGAGGTGTCCCTGCCCATGGCTGTGGGGGTTGGAACTAGATGATCTTAAGGTCCTTTGCAACCAAAACCATTCTATGATTATATGATCTTCATAGTAAGATCATCTTGTATCTTTGCTGATATAATGTAAGATTTTTCTCCCCTGTCATGGAAGAATGACTGTTGCAGCTGAACCCAGGACATCCCCTTTATCTGTTAATGAATATTAGAGACTGTTAATAGCACAGCCATTTCTTTGATGCTATGTATGCTGGCACCTGTCATCATTATGTACTCCAGGTCTCCTTACTGGCCTGAACTTAAGTGCAATATGCCATTTGAAAAGTGCCAGAAAGAGTAGAGCAGTCATGTGGTTTTGGTGATCACAGTGGAACTTGATGATCTTAAGGTCCTTTCCAACCCTAAGTATTTTATAATTCTATGTTTGACAAACATTTTGTGTATTTATAGTCGTAGATTTGTAGGCAGAAGCTATGTATTCTGTGACTGTAATCATGAACTGTCCTTTTATATTCTTGAAATAGACACAAAGTGCAACCAGCTAAAATTAATGATGCTAGTTTGCTAAAGCAATGATGCAAAATCTGTGCATGTTAGTTCTGTCAGTATTAGTGGTATGTATGCTTGGTGATGTCATTTCAAAGCCTTAAGGCTGGACTGCACAGATGTCACGGTAACTTTTGCCAGGCTACGAATGCCAACCTTGGACTTTAATGTGTAAATTTTAGTGTTTAATTATCACACGCAAAACTGTCCCTGCCATGGGCAGGGACACCTTCCACTAGACCAGGTTGCTCAAAGCCCCATCCAACATGGCCTTGAACGCTGCCAGGGATGGTGCAGCCAGAACTTCTCTGAGCAACCTGTGCCAGTGTCTCACCCCCTGACAGTAAACACCTTCCTAATACCTAGTCTAAATCTGCCCTCTTTTGGTTTCAAGCCTCCTTATCTCTCCTTATCTTGTCACTACTTGACCTTGTAAAAAGTGCTTCTCCAGATTTCTTGTATGCCCTATTTAGGTACTGGGAGGCAGCTCTAAGGTCTCCCCTCAGCCTTTTCTTCAGGCTCAACAAGCCCAACTCTCTCAGCCTGTCTTCACAGGAGAGATGCTACAGCCCTCTGCTTGTGGTCCTCCTCTGGACTCTGTCCAACAGGTCATGTGGGTTTGGGAGGGGGGTTATTTGTTTTAAAAAATAAACAAACAAAACCTAAACCAATCAGTCAAACAAACAAACCAGGGATGAGAGACGCTGCAGTATCAAATAGTGTACTGTAATTGCACCATTTGTTTGATAAGAGCCTTTTGCCATGTGGATATGATTTTAAGGTATATGGGTTTACCAAAGAAAGTGTACTAAATAATAAAGCTAAACCCTTACCTCCAATGAACATTTATTTTGTGAAACTCAAATATTGTAAATTATAAGCCTGCTTACATCTGTTCCAGGATGATCTCTTAGAAATATGGCCTCTGTGTTGTTTTTGATGGAACCTGGTCTTGATATAGTTCGTGCTGTGCTGCACAACTTCTTTCTCTGTCTTTATTTTATTGTCTCTAAGGCCCTTGAGGGAAATACTGAGAATCTGGAGCAGCTGTAATCGTGAACAGACCTCGTTATTATTCCTATTTTAACTTGTTGGATAGTGCAGGATATATGCAGTATATGTTTCCAGACCACAAAACTTGAGAAAGATACATGCTTATATCTGTGAAATAACACTCGGGGAAACCTTGATAGGTGTAGACCACAATGCCTTTCTTTCACAGTGGTTAAGCTTAAGTGTTCTTTGTTCTGGAGGTCTTCTATTTTATAACACATACAGAAGCAACTAATTTCATGGAAATAGAGATAAACAGGTTACCGATATCTTACTAAATAGCTGATGGTGGTTTCTGTTTGAAATCAGACTCTAGGCTAACCCAGTATTGCTGGTTTCTCCATGGAAAGAGTAACAACCATTAATGGGCATGCTTTGGCATGTACGTACTATATGGCAATGTTAGTAGCTTGGTGATTTCAGTGATAAGAAAATCTCTGGTATAGAATATATCTACTCTTTACCATTTGTGTTGGGATTTTGTTGTGTTTTTTTTTTTTCTGTCTGTTCTGTCATACCATTGGTAATTGTCTTTAAAAGTTATCTTTTCAATTTCTGTTATGTTTAACAGAATTATTTTCTGATGAAAACTTACTTCCCACATTAAAATTATGAATATTTTCTAATTTTTTACTTCCCATACTGAAATCCAAAATATTTTTATTTATAATTACCTTTCTTTGCGGTGACTTTACTTTTGGCTACGTATAGAGTGTTATTTAGGACACAATGAAATGGACTGCAACTGCACCAGGGGAAGATCAGATTGAATATTAGGAAAAGGTTCTTCACTGAGCTGATTGTCAGACACTGGAACAGGCTCTCCAGAGTCATGGTCACCAAGCTTGTCAGAGCTCAAGGAGCATCTGGATGACGCTCTTAGTCATATGTTTTAGTTTTAGGTAGTCCTGCAAGAAAGAGGGAGTTGGATTTTATGAACTTTATGGGTCCTTTCCAAGTTGAGGTATTCTGTGATTTCATAGAATTGAAACTTGTCCCCCAAACTACCCCCCCCCCCTGCATTTTTTTAAAAAAGCATGACTAAACCTCCCTCCTACCTTCCCTTCTGATTTTAGCTTGGGTCTGTAATGCTCATCCTGATGCCTGTCCAGAAAAGTAGTGTGGATCTTGATGTTCACCCAAAGCCCTTTACAATATATTCTGCAATACATTTTTACCACTTCCTTACTTCTTGGATATTGACAATGTTGGACACATTTCTTCCTCAATCTGGAGAGCAGCAACATCAAGTAGCTGACCACAAAACTTGCTGTAACACTTAAACATTCATATTTACTTAGGTTAAGCCTAGTAATAATCGAAGTTGTTTTTCTCTAGTGCCTGAAATTTGGAAATTGTAACTGTATGTGATTGCTGCATGGTGACACACCATTAAAATAACGCCCCCCTTCCCCCTTTATTTTTTTTTTAGGGACGCAAGAGTGAGGCAGAAAAGTACTTTGTGAAGGCTATTCAGCTGGATCCTACCAAAGGAAACTGCTACATGCATTATGGTACGTTTCAGATAGATAAGGTTTTCACACATATTGCAGGCTTGCTGTTAATCTCTCAGAAAGATTAAGGATTTGAAATGTGCTACTGGCAAAATATCTTCTTTAAAGGAAAAGAAACTAATCTGTCATGTATAACTTCATCTACCTGTTAATATAACACCAAATCTGTTTTGCAGAGGCAAAAGTGAAGATTTTAATATTTTGCATAACTTTCCTCTTGTGAGAGGAATTTCAGTATTGCTGCCTCTCTGGGAAACAAAAAAAAGGTGACTATTGCCATATCTCAAAATTTCATGAGCTGGGATATTATTACTAACAGTTTTGGCCTAATTTTGCTGGTTGTTGCTGTATGGGCAACTAGAAGTTATGCTTTACTGTGCATGAGTTCTATGTATCGAAGTGTCTGCTTTGTGTTGAAGACTTAGATCTATCTCCTTCCTAACATCTTAATGGCTGAAAAGGATAAGTGCTACAAAAGGTTTTGACAAGTTGGCTATTTCTGGTCCTACTGAGCCATGCATGTGCAGAAAGTACACAGATAACTTGAAGGTATCTTTATAACTTTGTCTCGTTTATGCTAGATGTGCAAAAAATAGTTCCAGATGTGATTAGTCCCAAGGAACCAAAAATATTTAACTCTATGGGCTAATTTGTATTGTATTTTAAAGCTGGTAATAGACAAATCTAAAAATGCTAGCTATGTAGTCCCAATTGGAAAATACAGAAAGAAGTAATAAATTTAATCTTAGTTAAGGAAGAAGGTAGGGAACCACAAGCATACTGTATATATATTTGTGTATTGTTTTAATTTCCTCTTCTGATTCTAACTGATAAATGTAAAATAAATAAAAATGAGTGGCCAAAAGGGAAAATTAATCTCACATAATAACCATGTTTTTACTTTGTGTGATATCTCTGCCTGAATTGCTCACATGTTGTATTTCCCTTTGGTCCTGTGCAGTGTAAAATTCTGTATGCTGGACTCCCAGAATCAATGCATACTTTGTCATTTAGAAAATGTTATGGTATTTAAATTAATGTAGGACAGTGTTGCATTATTTTGCATTGTGGATCATTGCAGTTAGTAACCTTGTCTTCTATTTATGCCTGTACAGACAAATCTGATATGGGTATTTGTGCACATATTTCTGTTATTTCAATTGAATATTAGTACAGTCGGTGTCCCAAAATAATCAGAAAAAAATTGCAGCAGGTAGTATCTTGAAATCCTACTCAAGTCCTTTCTAGCCTATGTTATTAAGAAATCTATCTACTTTGTATGAGAGGTCTTGATTATCTGTCATAGCAATTGAAGTTGATTGCATTTTATTACAGGTCTAGACTTTTTTTTCTTTTTTCTCTTTCATCAACTAGCCTCTTTTCCTGCAATATTCCCTTTGTGTCATTTTCAAGTCCCTATAAGCTGAAAGCAAGGTTATTCAAATCATCATTCATCTCAGGAGTATCGACTTCTTCATTACTGGACTGCAGTGTTAAAATGGTGTGTTGTTTCCTAAGGAAGATTATTGCCTAAAAACTTTAGCAGATTTTTCTTTTATTGTGTCACAGGTTCAAAATGTGGTTTCTGTGTCCTTGTGCAGAGGATATTGCAACATAAATGGCATTCTGCTTATTAGGAGTGAAAGGCAAAATTTAGTCACTGGAATATGAGCATAGTAAAATGTGATGCAGAAAGGCTGTAGAAACAGGAATGTTCTCTATACTAGTCACTAGGTCTTTGTCATGGAGTATTATACACAGAGAACTCTACTGAATGCCAGTGAAATCTTTTTTTAAATGGCATAACTTCGGATCACCTCATAAAATTCAGTGATGTTATTCCATGTTTATATCAAAGTAGCTATGAGAAAGATGTGGTTTACTTCTGCTTGTCTTACGTGTGTATGTAGTAGAGTTGATCTCACAACCTTGTCACTTTGGGCACAGGACTGTAAAATTTGAAATAAATGATTCCTTCCTTCCTGCCTCCCTCCTTCCCTCTTTCTTTCCTTCTTTCCCCTTTCTTTCCCTTTTCCTTCTTTCAATTTCACTTCCACCTATTTCTTGTATTGATAAGGATTCTTTAGTGTATGTTACCAGGGACATTCCAGATACTACACAGGAATCCCTAGTGAATGTTGTAAGCTTTATCTCTATCAGCTCATTAGTTTATCTTAGCACCTTGTCACAGGTATAGTCTATGTCTTACATTCCAAGTGTTAAACTATGGGGAAATACATAGAATCATAGAACATCTGTATTTTCCATGTGAATCTTTTTTTCTCAGCATGAAGACATTGGAACAGAGAATAAATTAGTTGACATTAGCCCTAAAGAAATCACATACCTCACAGAACAGCCATATGAAAAGAACGGTCAGCTGGGACAAAAGAAGTGTGTTGATGGACTAGCAGAAATGAATCGACTGATGATTTTCTTCCAAGTGCACGTGGATTCACACACTTATAATTTATGCTTCCAGGATGTGCAGATGTTCTTTTTGACTTCTAACCTTCTAGACATTTTTGGAGCTGTCAGGAAAAACTGTCAATATACTGACTGTATCTTTCAAGAGGCTAACGTGCATTACATTGTGCTTCAATTCAAGCCTTAAGCCAAAGGCTTTCTTAGGCATGATTTGGTGCAGGAGTCAACTTATTTGATCACATGAAAAATTGAAGATGTCAACAGATCCATGGTTGCTCCTTGGATAATACCGCCACAGCACACTTCTCTGCTTGAGGTAGTGTTAGAATTAGTTAGGTAATTTGCTGGCTTTGTATTTCAGTGGACTTAGGTTTAAAGCAGTGTTTCTCAAACTCACTGTGCTTGGAGATACCTTGAAGGAGAGCTAGTGGAAAAGCTGAAGAGATAGAAATCCCTGCACACTCCTGACGTGATGCCACTTCATTGGACGTAAGAGGAAGGAGCTTTTACTCTAGTGATGAGAGTGACAGTCCCCTCTTAAGCTGAAATGCAGGCTCACCTGTCCTTTTTTCCTAATTCTCTTCTAGTTCTCCACTAATTCTCCCCTTCTCTTCCCCTTTTCTCCTTTTTCTTTCTCATATGCCAGTTATCTGAACATCTAGAATTTGTGTAAAACAGTTGTATTGTGAGTCTTGACGGTTGATCTGGTACAAGCTACTCATGTACATGGTATGCTACCAGAAACACCTAACAGATGAGAGAAACTGCATACCAACCAGGAAGAAGAAAAAAAATGGCAGTTGAAAGACTGCAGAAGCACCAGGTTTTGGTTTTTTATTATTATTTTTTTAATTTCCTGTCAATGAAAATACTATTTTTGACACAACCTGCAATTTTTAAAACTAAAACACTGGCAGAAATTATTTCAGATACTATATTTGAGTGCTCCTTTAAAGTCTGAGGCTTTTAGTTAGATATATTTAATACATTTTTTAAGAAAACTTAAAATGAACGGTTTGGACTAAACCTTAATAAATGCTTATTTATTTTTGTTTTTCCTTTCCTTTCTCCTCCTCCCCATGTTAAAGTTTTCTTCAAATGGTCTTACCCACACCTACTCATGGTATTGGCTCTTATGCATCCCATGTTATTTTGAACATTTAATTCAAGTATGCCATTTTGGATCCTGCAAGACCTCAGTGGCTTCTGTCATCAGTAAACTAATGACATAATTGAAATGGTCTCCATTGACCATTAAGAGAACTCTTTCTAACACAGTTGCTTTGATTAAATGCCTGTGGTTAGGAGGGATGAATCCAGGTGTGAAACTGAGAAACCAGACACCTATGAATTAATCAAATCCAAAGGAATTTTTGTGTATATATTTGAACAACGCGTTGGGATCTAAAGAGTCAGTAAGTTCAATTTGTTAACAAATGTGCCAAACATAGGAATATTCAGCCAGGTCAGACCAGTGCCATTATGGCCCAGGGGTTATTTGACCACTCACAAAGGAAGTAAAGATCTATTTCTGTCTCCACTGAGCCTATCTCAGAAGTTGAAGAAATACTCTGTATAAAATTTGTTAGTGCACAGAGATGAGACGAATTTCAAACAGTGAAACACTGAAGTGCTCATCTGTTTGAAAGCAAAAACCCCTAAATTCTTCAGTATCTTTTCATTGAGATGGCTACTAGGATACAGTGTAATTTAGGAGTTTGAAGTTGTTGAAGGCTTTGTGTACTAGGTTTCACTTAAACAAGCAAACAAACAAAAAAATAACCCCATAAATCTACAGTGAAATTTTAAGTCATCCAAACATTTTGCCTCCCAAACTGCCTTATTTCCTTTATAATTTGCTCTTTAAAAGAAAAATGATAATAATAATGAAAACCACACTAAAGCAAGTTTTGCTAAAACTGCCACTTTTGTTTAGCCAACAAGCTGCTAGCTTGTTTGCTGAAAGCAGGGTTTGCTACCATGCCTCTTAAAGTGCACGTAGTGGCCTCCCTTCAACATAATGAAAATGGAGTGGCGAAAAAAAGAGAAAGTAGGTTTCAAGATAAATGCATGTACAGAAGTCCCTTCTCCTTTACATTTGTAATGGCTTAATTGGAATGCGAAAATCTAGAACCCAAGAGGATGTTCATATTAAGTCTGTTTTATTAATCACCATTGAGACCTCTTTTAAAAATAGCTTCCTTTGAATAATACATTGTTTCTAATAACTCTAAATTGTTTAATTATTTCTTTTTCATTATAAAAATGGAATTATTGTCATTAGATTAATTATGCATTCACTTAATTAGGCAATTCACATTGTTCATCTGCCTTTTACAGTGCATTCCCAGTTACAGATATAAACCAAAATTAAAAATACACTGTCAGATAAAGTAAAACTGAAGCATATTAGCTATACGCCCATTGAAGGAAGAACATCTTAACATGTTCCCAAACATTCTAATGTGGGGGTTTTTTTTGCATTATCTTTCACTTCTGAATTTGTGATAATTTAGTTGTTTTTATAGATTTTCTCATTCGGTTTGGGGTTTGGTTGGGGTTTTTATTATTAT